CGTGGGAGAAGCCAGTCACTGTAGCTAAGAGAGGTTTGGGGGATGCCAGGCCAGCTGCAGAAGAGAAGATATGGGGAGATGAGAATAAGTAAAGAACAAGACAAACTGTCTACAAAGATGAGGAGTTTAATAGAAAAAGGTAACAAATGCTGTAAAACTCCCCCCTGCCCCAATCCACAGCATTTGGATTCAGGTGCATGTAACTGATTCATAGTGCAAGAGGTTTTGATTGTACAATACAAACACTTCACCTTTCCCTTCTCCCACACAAGGGAGCTGCAATCACAGGTCAAAAGTGGACAAAGCCAGCATAAAGCCTAAAGCAGCTCGAGGCACTTTTCTCTGAAGAACAGGGAGATCGACTCAAAGGCTGCAGCTACTAGCCTAGCCCAGAATTATCCCACAGGCTTTGTCAACTGCCTGAAATGTTCTGGATCTGGAACCCAACAGTCCTGCTCTGAGCAGAAAGGGAGCAAAGCCTCCATTTCATAGTAACATGGGAGTTAATCAACTGCACTTCCCAGGACACATGCAATCAAGAGCAGCTGAATAGAGAATCAAATCAGAGCAGCCATGGCCATGTGCAGGGTGTCCTCAGGCTTGCTGGAGACAATCCTGACTTACAGGAGAGACCTCCAAGCCTGGGCTTCACTTGGTCATGAAGAAGAACTCTTTCCGAAGGTAGTGATAGCAGCCTGGCATCTGCTTGTATTTTTCTTTAGCAGACACTTCATTCGCCACCTGGGAAAGAGAGGAAGGAAAATCAAGAGGTTGGCTGGTTTGCTGATCAAGCACTGCTTAAGGCCTTATTGAGGACTGAATGCAGGGCAGCAAGCAGAACTGTACACAGTAAGAGAGAGGAGATGACTCAGATGTGGACTGCAGGAGTCAGCAGGCTGCTTCTAGAACTGAGCACCTCTTCCCCTGCCTCCTCACACTCCGCACCAGATGCTCACTTCTGGAGGCCACCTTCAGAGCTGACCTTCCTGTCCCCCTTCCCTCTCACCAAGCTTATGCAACAAGTACTTTGTCTGAATCAGAAATAACTTCTCCTGTGGTCAGGAGAGCTTAGTCATTTCCTTTGCGTCAACACTGGCATGCAGATTTGTTAAAAATAGAAAGCTCTGTTGTGCCATTTACGGGGAGTGAAAGTTCTCTCATTCAGACGCATGAATGATATGAGCCCCCTTTCTTTGGGCGTTCTCCTAGGAGCCCTTCTTACTTCCACAAGAAGCTTCCATTGGCATTGAATTACTTCACAACATTCCCCTTTCCACAAAGAACTGGGTCCTTCAGTTTAGAAAGCAGGATCATGCATGACACCAATTACACCAATGGGTGTTTTCTGGTACCAGCTTTCAAAGGGGAGAGGAAGGAGGCCGAGGAGAACGTAGGAACAATTCAAAGGGGAGAGGAAGGAGGCCAAGGAGAACGTAGGAACAATTCCTAAGGCAGTTTAGGATGTGCTTCTTTACCATAACTCCAAAGACATCAGCAATTTGTCATACTGGAATTGCATACGCCTAGTTTCAGAAGGGAAAAAAATACAATTGGAGCTGCAAGCGTATGCAGAGTACACAACATCAGGTACGCTACTGATCTCTGTTGGACAGCACAGAGCAAAAACCCAGACAGCGACGCATCTGACAGCAACCTAAATGGATTTTTGTGCTATCCCACTGCACTGCACCAGAGATGCAGCAAAAGAGGGAGTTATTTCCAAGAACCTCTGCATTCCCAACACTGACTATAGAGCGAAGCTTAGCGTTTCATTAGCACGCACACTTATATCTCACACTGCTAGTTCAGATGTGATTACGTCACTCAAGATAAAAAGTAGTGTTAAAGGCGAACATCTGGTGCGGTTTTCCAGATAGCTGACATTCTTAAAGACTAAACAAAATGTCACCGCAGCAGCAGAGTGTGTAAAATTAAAGAGGTAATTGAAGATCACTCAACGTTATCAGCGGAGCAAGTCTTCCTTAGCATAATTTCCTTAGTATAATAGCAATACACTTATCATTCTGCCTGTAGCTGCTTGCTCCAACTCATTGGTGCTTTTGGTATCACAGGGAGGGGTAATATTTTGGCCACTGGCAGGATTATAGGCCCTTAAGCAAAGATTAAAGCGATGGTTTTTCAAGGGGAACAAGCAGTGTCTAAAGAAACCTTGCTGGGACCTGATAAAGTGAGAGTGTATTCTTCATGTTCTGAAAATCAAGTCCCTTTAAGGCACCATCCATTGGGCAAGTAAAAACTGAAGCTCTCCAAATCAACAGTCACTTTGGAAATTTAGGCCTTAACAGGCAAACTAAATTCAAAGACTGGAGTAACTGAAGCACTAAATCATACAAAAGGAACACTTACCCTCAACAACAGCTTCTGCAGATCTTCAGAATCAGCATATTGCTCAAGTATTCTATCCAGGGTTTCCACAAACCAACTGCCACTGTTGCGGTCCCTCCAGGAGACAAATCCTTTGGAAAGAATATAAAAACATTTCTCTCTCAGTCCAGCAAGGGAAGTCTCCTTGGTATGATATTTCCACTCTCCGGAAAAGTTTCTCTAAACCCAGGCTTGGGAGTCCTCTTTTTTGTGGGTGAGTGGGGCCTATATTACTGACTGACTTGGAGCAAGTCAAAACCTTCATGTGCCTCAGCTACTTATATCTGTGACATGAGGATAACAACTCTTCAGACAGTGGCCTCTCATATATTGTCTGTAACGGACTATGAGATTCTCCATTGAAAGTACGGAGCACTGTCAAGCACCAAAAGAAATCTTCATGGAATGAAAATAAAAATGCTCCAATGTTCATACTGTCTAGTTCGTGCAGGACGGTTTTCACCTGTAGCTCTCAAGAGTTCATTATGAATGGGGTACCCATAACCCTTCACATTTTCTAGATGGAGAAACTGACGTAGTAGGAAGTGACACCTCCAAAACCCCCATTAAGGTAACAGCCGAGCCAGGAACAGAAGCCAAGTGTTATCGTCATCCATCGCTCTATTCACTTGGCATCACTGCCTCCCTCATGAAAACTCACCTGGAAACGTTGAATAGGCCACCAAGATGTCACTGGCCGTGGGTAAACTGGCAACTGCATCTGGCTCATCCAAGTTCCCCGAGGAAGGCTTAAGGGGACATGCATCTGATTCTAGAGAAGCTCCATAACCTTGGTTTCCAGATGAGTCGGAATCCAATTGAAATCCATAATCCCTTTCCTCTGCCAGACGCAACCAGGAAACCCTTCTCAGTTACAAGCACAAGTAATAAGAGTGGATTCCCACCTTCCCCATCCATAAGTCTAGTCCTTCTGATATAAGAGGTAACTGTTCTTTTCTCCTTTGCTGTGTTAGCCGACTTGGAAACATCTGCAATTCATGCAAGTACAATTCGAGTTCATTCTTACCAACCAAAACCTTTCCGCCGCACAGGGAGAACTGAAACAGTCCACTCTGCTAGAGTACATACAGCAGCTGAGACCCTTTCACTTCCTTCCCACAGCCCTTCTCAATTAACCAAGCCAGTTTCAGTACAGTGAAATGCATGTCCTGGTCTGACCTGGCTGCTAACAGCTTGGTCTTTAGAAATTTCACTCTGGCCTATTGGCATTGCCCTCAGCAATAAGAATATGTAATAAAGAGGAAGAGAAGACAACTCAGGGATAGGAAATAGGAAAGAAAACAATTATACGAGAAATACCAGCACATGAACAAGTGGCAACACAACTGTTTCTCCCACTGAACAATCCGTCTAGGACAGAGTACTAGAGAAGCTAGAGCAGATATTCACCTCCACCACAGGCCTGAATGATGAAGAGTTTGGGTTTGCCCCTCAAACTCCAGCAATTCAGTCCATTGAAGTAGTTCACAATCTTTTCAATTGGAATGCTTGTCCCATCTGTCCCACAAACTTCTCCAGGAAACTGAACGTGGCTGCGCTGAAAGAACAAAAGCCAAGAGCCAATAACTCAAAAGAAAAGGTAAACGTAATCAGCCCTCCCAGCTTGTCTTGCATGCAACCACCCTAGTGTGCAGATCTCAAAATGCACCTGAGTTTGCTGCTATCTAGAAGGACTTGGAAAGCAAGAGGAGGAGAACAGCAGCCAATATCAGTCTGGAAATAGTCCAAATTCCAGACACCCATGATCCTCCTTATCTGACCCATGCCCTAGGTTCCCCTGAGGTTCATGGGGTCTTATTTCCCTCCTGCCCCACAAGCTGATTAGATGGCATTCCTCACAGTCACCCTAAATTCTCCCCTTCCTGTAATTCCATCTCATTACTTTTAGCCAGATGCCACTGCAGTACAAGTGTTCACTGTTCCAAATAATTACATGCCCACCTCACTGGTCAATGGGTGGTGAAGCTAGGGAAGACCTGAAAGGTCATGTAGTCCTTTCAGCACAGGGCTGTTCCACCCAGAGCACTGTGTAGTGCCAGGCTCCCTTTACTGCTGCATCCAGAATTTATTCTCAACGTGCACCCTGGTCCCCAAAAGCTTGCATCAGAGTTATAAAGTACACAGGACGCTCCGAAAGGTGAGACAGGATCAGAGCCACCTTAAGAAAGCAAAAGGGCACCCAGATAAGACATCTTGTTGCAACATTATACAGTAGAAAGCAACCATCCAGGGATTCCTACAAGCATGATAGCAGATCAGATTACCCACTGATCTCTTCTATTGGTTCAATGGCGCTGTTGCTACATCCATCATCAATCTTCCTGCCACTCCCACTCATGTATCCTGAAGTTTACAAGGAAAAGGCCCCACTGGCTTTGCCTACAAGATATTAGGGCACGAAGGAGACAAACACTCACAACGAAGAGATGTTGGGACCTCGGGAACCAACACACGCTTCAGAAGTCTACTATGCAACCAGAGCAAAGGGAAAGTGAAGGAAGGCTTGGATCTTACCTGACGGCCATGGGACAGGATCACAACCAGGCAGCAGTCCATAGCGCTGTGGTCCTTCTTGGCCAGCTCCGACAGCTCCCGGATCATTTCCTACGCACATAGCAGTTTCTTATTAAAGTGTATACATCTCCAATTTAGTTAATCTATAAGGTGCAACCATATCCTGCCTTCTGTCTGACTTCACAGTAACAGAGCTGACTATCTCTCTTAATACACACTGGCTAAGCTCAGAGTGACACGCTCCCGTTTTTCAGCTGGCAGGTTAGCAATAATCCCATCAGTCTGACCCCTCAAAGCAGTTCCACATCCAACGCTATGCTGCTGAAAGAACCGGGACTGCACTTCTGGAGAAGGAGGTCTGCCTTAAACACATCCACGAGCCCAGAAAAGGTCCCTCTCACAGTCCAAAGTGACAGGGGAACAATGTTTGTAAAGAGGTGAGTAAGCTTTACTCTCCTATGGCCTGTCCAGCCTAGTCCCCATTTTTGCATGGTCACATGTCCACTGGGAACTGGGCTGAGATCTAATCTGCTTGTGTCACATGGGACACTGAAATCCCCATCAGGCAGGAACAGTTTCTGGGTGACTGCAATAGACTTTCACGTAACATTTGCTGCTTTAACAAATAAAGGAGATTTCCCCTGAATAGCATCCTTTTAAAGAAGGCATCAGTCTCTGCATGTGCTCCCAAACACAGCATCAAGTCTGTATAGCCTACATAGGCTGAAATGCACTGCCTTTGGTTTTAGGAAAATAAGACAAGCCTGCTTTATCTTAAATGGAAGCTCCAGGGGATTGACTGTCCTGCTTAAAAATCAAACAATACATGAGTCAAGTGCAAACAGAAGATAGATCCCCTGGGTATCCTGATAAAAAAGATGAAGTCAAACATATCAAATAAAAGCAACATCAGAAGACTGCTTATAAATTATGTTCAGGAATGAAACCCAAGCCCAGAGGGGCTAAAACATGCGAGTGCTTTTTTTGCTGTAATGTGAAGAGGAGGATTGGAAAGTAATCTTTTGATGAGCTTGTTGAGCACTGCAGTTTGGGCTTTCTGACAGGCTCTTGAATTCAGTGCACAAACTGTTCCATTCTACTCATGTTTTGAGCCACTGATTTCTCAACAGGCGTTAGCTGGAAGATGCTCCTTTTACCTCAGCTGTGAGATCTTGTCGGGTAAGGACTTCAAAGTGGAACAATGAGAAGCGCCTCTTCAGTTTTTCGTAGTCTAGGTTGGAGCCCTGTCGAAGGGACAGGCCAGACTCGCGGCTGAAATGGACGTTGTTGATGATGAAGCAGTATCCACATGGGCGTGACTTCAGAACATAAACCTAGTGCACACAGACCCACAAGCAATGGTCAAGCAGAGAGACAAAATGAAACCCTCCCGACTCAGGGCAGCCTCTGGCTAACCTGGCAGGATGCAGCCCAGAACTGAACATGCAGCTCATACGATTTCTCCTATGAACTCAATTTACTCCTTGCCTAGGATTAGGGATGCATAATGGGACCCACTTCCATACAGGAGTTAATATGGACAGGGTGGAAATGCAGCCCAGCCTAACTGAATAGGAATCACACTTGGCAAAAGACAGGTGCCTTCCCCTACACAACAGCTCAACAGATAGAGCATGAAATAAGGAAGCTTCAAAAGTCTCTGAACAGATATTGATAGCGAACCTATTATGCAGACAGATAGAGCCCAAAGACCCAACTACAAAAAGAAAACATCAGGAGGCCCAGCCAGTACTTACAAAAATCCCTCATGCACTCAGATGCACTTTATTTAGCTTTTCCTGTGCAAATATTCCATTGACTTTAATGTGACTACTCAAATGCTTGCAAGACCAGGGTCTTTATTCACATGGCTAAGTGGCCAAGTTAATTTACCTGAAAATAAATTTGAGCTACATTTTCTGGAAGGCGAATCCAAAACATGCCTGTCTGCATTTGTGAACTTTGTCTTTTGTTATTAGCATGTTTTGGTTTTGTAATTATAATGCTGTAATATACCAATAAGAAAAATAGCACGATAATTACAAAACCAAAATAACAACAACAATAGAAAGAGCACTTGGCAAGTGCTGCACTAGATAATTAGTAGTTCTCTCAATCATAATTGCCTAAGGAATAATATTTGGGTGCATGTTATTGTTTATACTTATAGAATAGCTAATACAATATAGAAGAAGGAATGGGATGTTTAATTCTGTGCCAAACTGAATCAAACTGGGCATGTCAGGGCAGTAAGGACTTGTCCCAGGACTTGTCCAGGTAACTGGGTCAGATACCTGGACTCCAAACTGTAAATAAGTTCACTGGAATTTACCAGTTCCAGGCAAAATGTTCAGATGCCTCTCAAACTACTAACGCTGACCAGGTGTGGACCTAGTCTACACTAAAAAAGTTCTGCCAACGTGGCTATGATAAAGTAAAAGCATGTAAAAAGGAAAAATCATATCCCTAACTGGCCCAGCTATGCTAGCAAAAGTCTTAGTATGGATAGTTATAACAGCAAGAGAGCTTTCATCAGCATGAATTATTCTGGGTTGGGAAACTGGTATAAGCTAGAGGCACAACTGGATTTTTTTTGCCAGCACAAGCTACATTTCCACAAGAAGGGTTTGATGGTATAGCTACACTAGCAAACCTATTCCCGTGTAGCAAAGCCTTGCAAAGGTAGTTGGTCCCCTCCAAATGCAAAAAGGTTCGCCGTTGGCTTTACAGAAGTAACCAATCATGTCAGGCACCTGCCCCCTATTGATTTCAAAGCACCAAAGGACTGAATATGCCAGAAGGCACCTAGTATTATCTTCAGGCACCTCAATACCTTTGTAGTTTAGGATTTGATTGGGAATATCTCTTACTGGACCATCTTCACAGTGGAGAGAGATGCTAGGTGAGCTTTGGGGTCAGCTCCCTCTGCTAACTGTTAAAGGTATTTGAGCACTTCGCTACCACTGGAATCCACTGGAGCTATGCTCTTAAATCCCCTTAACAATCTGGACCAAAGCCCTTTGGATTGTCAATGAGCCTTAGGCTTAGAAATGCATGATTCCCTTTTGAAAACGGGGCTTCAGGTGGATGTGACAGGAGCTGGCACTGGACAGCTCAGAGAGGACACAAGAAACAGATGCACAGAAAAAGGACACTGACCATATTGGAGTTCCGTCTGAACCCGTCTGCAGCAGCACCTGCAACACACACAGACCTGACATTCAGCTCCAAGCAAGCACCCACAACTCATTAGCAAGAGGCTTGGACTTAGCTTCACAGCATTAATACCAACACAAACACTGGCTCACATTTGTTACACTGCATCTTAAAATCAATAATTCCATGGCATGGCATCTACGTGTCTTTCTGATGAGATCCCTTCTGTTAATTAGGTCTTTCCCTGTTGGAGCCAACATGAGAAAGCCTTTGTTTCAACCGCCTTTTATTCTTCTCTAGCTGTTTTGAGCATGTACGAAGATCCCAAGACAACAGCTCATGACGTGTACCAACACTATGGCCTGAAGAGGAGACATGCAGGTACAAGCTTCTCAGGGAAAAGCAGCAGATTTGCTGTCCCTTCACTGCACACAGGGGAAAAATAATCACTGTTCAGCAGCGATGCCTGGGCAGCAAGGTGCAGGGAAGTCCAGCATGTGTAGAGAAAGTTACAGGGAGAGTGGAGCAAAAGGTGCATCTTGTATTTTTATGATGTCTTCCAGTTATACAATACTCATGTGTTCCAGGCACCATGGCATTCAGGGAGATTAACCCAACATGGGAAATACTGTAAGACTCCGAGAGGGATAGGTGGTCAAGGGCTTCCTCAGAGAAGCAGGGAAAAGGACAGAGAAATTGCCAGGACTTAGGTCTTACCTACCATGAGATTGCTTACTGTGAGACACTGTACCAGGGTGGTCCAATTCTTGGCATTTCTCAGTCCTGGCTTGGACTGGCAGAGCTCTCCCACCTGAAAAGGCACAGAACATTTGAAGTACCCCTCGTCCTCCAGGTTCCTGCCAGAGGTAGGGTGTGTGAAGCAGACAGCAGGCTCTCTCTGGAGTTCTCGTTTGAAGCACCACTTGTTGCAGGCAACTGAATATCTTGTTCTGCAGCTTGGGTGCTAGATATCATTTATACCCTTCCCCTGTAGGGCTCAGTCCCTGTTGTTAATGATATGGCATGAGATGAAACTAGAACAAGATTATGCGGTGAGCTGGGTGGGAATTGTGTGCCAAGTGTTTTCACTACTATTCCATTCCTCCTGAATTGTGTTTATAGACAGCAACCTCTCCTGTGCATACCCTAAAGAAATCAAGCATCCTGAAAAGGCTAGTCCATTCAGAAAGATGCCTCTTCACTCCTTTCTTCCCTGAAACTCCATCTGACCCTTCCCTATACCCCCTCTCAGCTGAACCCAGCACCTGTCCTTCCCTTCTTAACTTCAACATGCATCTTTCTGGCCACCAATTATTCTGAAAATAGCCTTCCAAGACCATCTCCTCCCTGCAAATGCTCGTCTTTCTCTCACTGACTTCCTCCAAGCCAAATATCTTTGCAACATCTCAACTATTCTGCAAGGCATGATCTGTCCATTTTAGACTAAGCAGTGACCCTGCCTTTAAGGTTTGGTGAAACAACCAGTAACACTCAGAGAGCCCTATAAAATAAGGGGCAACAAAGAGAACCTGAAAATGAAAAATAAACTGTTAATGGAACCAGCTACCCAACCGACAACACAGATTTCTGAGGAAAAAAAACAAAACAGCTCTGGTCCTCAAATTACAGACGTTTTGTGCATTTAGAGTTCCTTTCAGTCAAGGATCTCAGCATGTTTTAGCTTTGCCTCGTATGTCTTTTGCCAGATAGATAAGCTTTATTCCCCATGTTGTAGCAGAGAAAATTGTGAGCTTTATGGCTCTCCACTAGCCACTGGCCTAGGAATGGACACCAGATCTCCTGACATCTAATCCCTTCTTTAAATTAAGGCAAACAGTATCTTCCTGATGCAGGGCGAAACATGCCCTCAGATTTCAGATTTGAGGCACTATAGAGATTATATGCAAAGAACATCAATCTCAAGTTATTGGGACATGGCTGCAGATTAGCACTTTTCAGTAACACTGAACTGCACTGTCCTTTCCCAAATGCTGCATGAGCTAACAATTAATTCTGGATGACAAATGGGCTATCAAATTTAACAGGCTACTAGCCACTCTCCTGTACCACTACAGCAATAGGGTTTACGACTGCTGTATTTTGCTGCTTGTTACAGCAGTACCGTGGACACTTACTTGCATCACCCTTTCCACCACGCGGTCCAATTTCAATGGGTTTTATGTCAATTGAGGATGGCTGCGGGGAAGTGCATCCTTCACTCAGGAAATCTGCCAGCTCTTTCTGTCCAGTTTCGTGTAGGATGGAAACAAAAGTAGGAAAAGCTTGCTTCCCTCGGGTCTCAAGGTCTATAAGTAACTGCCTGGCTTGGTCTCTTGGAGTGCCTGCTCTCTGTAGGGGAGGGGAAAAATTTACATCCGTTAGACTACGCAGGCCCAGAAGCCAGCATTTCCAAACAGCAGGTCGGTGCAAAAATGTAGGGAGTTTTAGCAGAATAGATCAGGAAAAGACCTCAAGCTAAAGGGATGATCAGGCAATATTAAACACACTACACTTATTTATAGACTCGCAGAAAGTGAGGGTTAGGAGGGACCTCAGGGGGTCACATCCAGTCCAACCCCCTGCTCCAAGCAGGACCAGCCCCACCCACATCATCCCAGCCAAAGCTTTGTCTAGCTGTGTCTTCAAAACCTCCACCACCTCTCTGGACCACCCAGTCCAGTACTTCACCACCCTCCTCTGTTTTTCCTACTATCCAACTGCAACCTCCCTTGCTGCAACTTGAGCCCGTTACTCCTTCTGTCACCACCCCCACCAGCTCCATCCTCATGGCACCCACCCTGTAGGGCAAGCTAAAGGCCGCTATCAATCTCCCCCCGGCCCCGGTCTAATCTCACGCAGCCCACCCGTTTTCACCGCCCTCCAATGGACTCTCTCCAACACGGCCACATCCTTTTTGCTGCCCAAAACCGGACGCCGGCCTGCCCAGGGCTGAGCGGAGGGCCTCCGTGGCATGCTACCCCCCACCCCCAGGTCCTTTCCTGGAGAGCTGCCCTTTGTCCCCGTGGGACCCGTCTGAGGCGTCTCCCTCATGGGGTGCGAGGGCAGGGGGTGCGGTGCGGTGCGGAGCACAGCAGAGCACAGGGAGGCGCCCGGCACCTGGATGTCGTCGAGCATGTCCTGGGAGAAGACGCCTTCCCGCGCCAGCGGCCCCCACAGCGCCGCCAGCTGCAGGCCCTGCACCAGCCGCACGCGACCCAGCCGCAGCAGCCGCCGCTGCTCGGCCTCCATTGCCCGGACGTGACGTCACCGCGCCGCACCACCCATCCGACCTCCCGCACCCCAGCATGCCCCGCGCGCGGGCCCCCTCGAGCGGAAGTGAGCGCGCCGTGTCCATGGTGACGCGAGGGGCGGGGCGGGAAGCCGGAAGCGGTGGCGGGTTTCATCGGGCCGTGCCCATGGAGTCGAAGGTGCTGCGCGCGGCCGCGGCAGTTGTGCTGGTGCTGGCGCTGGCCCTGCCGGGCCTGCGGGCTGCCGACTTCGACCCGTACCGCGTGCTGGGCCTGGGCCGCACCGCCGGCGCCGCCGACATCAAGAAGGCCTACAAGCGCCTCGCCCGAGAGTGGTACGTGCCCTCCTCCCCCTCCCCCCGCAGGATCGGGCCCCCACAAAGGGCTGAGCACCGCTGCCCTGTCATTGGGTTTTGAGGCAAATGATGGAGCTGAGGCTGGTCCTGCTTCAAGAATATATATTTATCTTTCATATATTCACCCAATGATGCAAAAGGTGGTGGCTTTCCTATATCTTTCCTATATTGACCCTAATATAGACAGGCAGTCCCCGCAACTACAGCAGGTTATGTCCCTGGAGAGAGGCACTGTAAGTCGAAACGATGCAAGTCAAATCTAATTTTCCCATGGAAACCACCTTATAATTAGGGTTATGTTCCTGACCAGGGGTCTGATGCCCAACTTTTTATAGAAATGACCATAAACACCATACTGAAATCAACTATAAATGATACACACTGCACAGGACAAAGCTTTCTGAAGTGTGCTGTATATCAATCAATTAAACAGGGCAAAGCAGTAACTAATCACATAAAATTGTATTTAATCAGAAGGTGAAGGAACACCTTCATCAGGGTCACAGAGTTCAGAAGGGCTTTTGGGGAGACTTAGGGTCACTCAACGGCTTTTTGAGAAACTGATCCAGGGATGTTTGTTCTGCTGCCCCTTTTTTTTTTCTCATTGCAAGTTTCCCTGTAGTGCCATAAGTAATAACCTGGGTGTAAATGACGGAGCGCTGCAAGTGCGAAACACCACAAGGCGAGGACTCCCCGATTAGGGTGACTATATGAAAGAGATTCGGCACCTACTTCTGCATCATAACCCATGGGTTGAGGAAGGTGTGTGTGTGTGTGTGTGAGAGAGGGTCACCAGCAGACTTTAAAAAGGATCGACAAGCTTTAAAAATGGATTCTCCTTTAAAGGAGGAAAAAAAATATGGGAAGCCATGGGTTTCACCTTGTGGGCAGAGCTCCAGCCTGGGAGAGGTGGCTTGGGGCTCCCCCCGTACTATACGCCCACCCCTTACCCCACACACTGAGGGGCTGGGGACACTGGGTCAGGACTGGGCATCGATGTTTCCAGATGGGTCCCGGTACAAAAAAAGGTTGAGAACCATTGCCCTATGGGACAAAGAATTACTTGCAAGTAAAAATGAGGAGACATGGTCCTCAGTTTTATAGATGCAAAGTTATAGGTCAGATTGGAACTTAACATTTGTGGACCAAGGAGTAGTTGAATATTAGATTTTGGAAGGCCTGGTACATTTTATGTTGTATAAGATGGGGGAAAATGTATAATAATCTACTGGTGAAATCATCCAGAGTATGAACAGATGTATTTTCTTTTGTTATCTTTGGGGCTCTCGTAGGGGTTGTTGCAGGATGGTGATAGTTGTAAATGAGTGTCTCTAACTGCATATATTTAATGCTCCCTAAACAAAGTAATTCGAGTTCCTGAACTTTGTTTAAAACAGGACACACTTGAACTCTGATCAAGACAGACTTTAAGTAAAGTTTTCAATACACCTAGAAGACAGATTTCTGAATTGAAAGAAAACTCTGAGACTCCGTGTATACTTTTGTTCATCTTGTGCCTAGCCGTCTTCTCTTTTTCCAAGACCTTTGTCCTGCAAACAGTGAAAGGATATTGATACTCTTAGACATACGTGCACAAGTGGACCGACTGGGGCACTAAAGTGTGTGTGTTTTAACTGGAAGGTTTCCAGTGTGTGTTTAAGATTATGACAGCTAAACACTTGGAAATGAAGTAAAGTGTTAGAAACATGATGCTTTCAGGAGGATGTGATTTTTTTTATTTATTTTTTTTTTTTTTAAGATCTAATACCTTACATAATAGAATTACGTTAACAAGTTTTGACGTTGTGTATAGCATTCACTTTTGGTGATAATACCGGTACTTTATTGATGAGAAGGTTACAGCCCCTTCTGATGATCAGCAAGGCCAGTGCTAGATTTAATTTACATTCTTGAGTACCAAGCCCAAGATCAATCTTTGAAGAGGTTTAAAAGTACTAGATGCAGATGTTGCTAATCCATACACTTATTAATCAGTACAAGAGAGCGAGCTGTGACCTTCATCAGGCTGTGCTTTGGGTAAAAAATAAAGCAAAAGCTCTGGCACATGTGTGTCATACAATAAAAATACCAGTATAATCCACACTTAAAACTAAAGTTTAAGCAGCAGTTCGGAGATTGAATTCAAGTGAGAAGAGACTGCTCCGATACCATCTCTGACTAAATCTGCCCTTGATATACATGTATGTGTGTTTTGAGACTTTACATGTCACCAAACAGACAGACAAGCCAGCATGTGATCTACCTCACACCAGTGCTTTCCATGGGCATTTAGAGCATTGTAACTTTTAAAGCGGTGGGGGCCAATCTTTTTGGCAGGCGTGTCACAAATTAAGGCCCGCATGCTCCTTGCATGACACTCCAATCCCCTTCCCCTACCCAGTCTGCAGCTATGCTCCTTGCTCCCTCCCCTGCCTTCTGTGTACAACTCATGGCATCCGTAGCACAAGCTGGCCATACCCATTTCAAAGGAAAACTTAGTTTGCACAACACCGTAGCTTGTATCCTTACATATAAGGGCAGAGCTGATGTAAGACATGTGAAAAATTATCATTGGAACTAAAGCATCTATTGTCTTTGTCCTCATGGAACCTAGGCAGGAAAGAGGTCATTTAATACTATTGTTTAAAACTATTAACAGGCATTAAAATTCTTTGTGCTTCAGCCAAGTGCGGGGAGGTGGGGGTCAGACTCCCATCATAAATCTACTTTAAACGTCAGACAGATTAAGCAGGGGATACCACTAAATGTCTTTAACATCTACATATACCATTTGTATGGCATGAGTATTACGCCGAGGCAGCCTACTTTTGTGGCATGTTGTGCAACTCCCTGTGATAAGCTGCTGTCACTTCCTAGAGGTTGACATGCATATTCTCAATTTCTTTTTGCATTGTAGGCATCCTGACAAAAACAAGGATCCAGGAGCAGAAGATAAGTTTATCCAAATTAGCAAGGCCTATGAGGTATTAAATACTGCTTGTTAACTTTATGCTGCTTTTCAACCTCGCTGTTCAATCCTGGAAGGTGCTGTTCTTCTCTTTTACATCACTCTTTATAGCTATATGGAATAATCTCTCAGCATTTCTATGGAGAGAAACATTGGGGTAGGGGGAAGAGAGAGAGGAGAAATCTGTGTGTTCTAGATAAACACAAGTCCTGGATGTTGTTGTCTTTCTAAATACCTTTGTCCATTTATAATCTCTCCAATTATTTGGGGAGAATTTAATTAGACCTCAGAGAAACTGATGGCAGTGTTTTAGTAGAACATATGGAAAGTTGTGCTCTTTGCTGGCTGAGAAGCGTCAAGCAAGGCAGGAAGGGGTCTTAAAGTGCAGCAGGCAGGTTGTCTTTTCTTCTATTATGCATGTTCCAAATGAGGATCCGAGTGAGCTTAATGACTTTGAGAGCTTTAGTCGCTTCTAAAAATATTATTTGCATAAGGAGCACTTGCAGGTCACTTATCCAAGGCTCACTGAATCAGCCACCTCAGCTTGTGACAAAGCTGAGGCTTTTCATACAGCTGTGCTGAGCCTCTAGGAAGTAAATGGATTCTGATCTCCTGACTGAAAAAAAAAGCAGTTTCTGCCCCGCAATGTTGCTAGTCTTTCTGAGCACTTCACCTCTTCAAGTTAACATCAAAGCAAGTAGAGTGCCACAATATCTAGCTGGATTATATTGGCTTGAGGAATCTCACATTGAGAAACTGAAGTGCAAGAGAAATTTGGAAGAGACAGTGCCGTGGAGCTTAAAAGCCTGGAATTAAGGTTTTAAAAAGGCTGGTTAATTAATGCATAGGTTTGTACAAAACTATCCAATAAAATGTTCTACATCCATGCATCAGCTTTTGCTTTGCCACATGCATAGATTTGCCTATAGGGACAAGGCCATAAAAACAGCACAGTTCACTTTCTTGGGGCTCAGAGTTTTAGACATTTAGCCAAAATAAAATTCCTCTTTAAGTCTATTTAGGGAAACAAGGGAAAAATGTCATGCCTCCAGTTCTCTCTCAATGGGTCTGGACTTTTTCTTTTTCACCCCTTACTACTATACTCAACTCTCCCATTAACAGATACTTTCCAATGAGGAAAAGAGGGCAAACTTTGATCGTTACGGAGATGTGGGCGAGAACCAGGGATATTCTCAGCACCAGCACCGCCAGTTCCACCATTTCCATGAAGGCTTTTACTTTGACGAGTCCTTTTTCCACTTCCCATTCAACTCGGAGCGACACGACTCCTCAGATGAGAAATACTTGCTGCACTTTTCACACTACATGCATGAGATTGTGCCAGACAGTTTCAAAAAGCCTTACCTCATTAAAATAACCTCAGACTGGTGTTTTAGCTGCATCCACATTGAGCCTGTGTGGAAGGAGGTGGTTCAAGAGCTAGAGGCGCTGGGTAAGAGAAAGCAATAACCATTCAGCTTTAACTTGTTTTCAGGGAGAGGCTGTCTCAAAGGTTTCTACCCTGGGCTGCAGCAAGTGATTTCAGTGTTGGAGGGGTGCATTTACATTAAGCCACTGCATTCCTTTGCAGCTTCTCAGTGTGAAGCAAATGGTTTTTACATCTGTGTTTTCCAGGCTAAGCAGCAAGGATCATTAATAACATTCAATGCTGGGAAGATCAATGACACTAGGACAAGATTTGCAATGTTAGGAAAA